TCTATAATTTCCTTTTCAACTATGGGCTTCAAAAACATAGAACTCATGTTCCTTTCGATTGTATTATTATTTATAGTGACGGATGTATCATCTGTACAAATGCTTCGTGCTAAACTAGGACCAACATTCACAAAAAACCTATTAAACTTCTCTACTGCATCCTCCAATCTATTGACCGGTGTGTCATTATCCATAAAATATTGAGGGTAGTTACTCTTGCTGGGACTATTTCTAATCAATTTATTTAATATATTCCAAGTACCTCTCATGTTATTTTTATTATCCTCTAATACTTTAGAGCAATATTGTTTCTTATATCTCCTCAAAATCTCAGTTAATTTGTTCTTATACGACTTATATTTTTCTTCCGCCTTCTTTGATCTGTACTTTATGAATTCCTTATATAACACATTCTTCTTTTTACATGCATTCTGTAATCCCTTACTCATCCACGGTTTCCCACTGTAATTCCTCTTGTTTTTATACTGCTTACGAGGACAGTTCCTGTCATATACTTCCATGAATATATTTAAAAATTGCTCGTATGCTTTGTCTAAGTCTTCCTCTTTGTATACTGCATCCCAGTCTTGCCCCATAAAGTCCTCTTTTAGCCTCCTTACAGCATATTCGTTCATCACCCTCCTATAAAAAAAAGTTTGTTTTTAGCCTTTCCTTTCTAACGTGGCAGTCATAAACCAAAAATACAGGTAAATGATCACTGATATCATTTATAAGTAATCCACTAGACATTTTGCTGTCAATATTTAAAATGTCCTTCCAGCGTCTTACTCTGTGTCCTCCACCTGCGTAATCTCCTCCTCAGCCTTAGATAAGTGCGCAGGATGAAAGAACTGAAAAACAATATAAGAAGCAAAACTTTAGCTCACTTAATTCATGAGTGATTGATATGAGTGTCTGTGTAGAGTCTGTGTTTGTACTTACGTTGAATGTGTCATTTTTTTGCAGGAATTGTATGTATTTTGGAGGGGGGCGAGGAATCGGAGGAAAGAGCAGTTTAAACACCCTGAAACATGCATATGCATAGAATCAGTAAAAGTGTTAGTACACATTTTAAACTCATTCTGCTGCCAGCTGCACTGGATAAAATAATACTTATATGTATCTTTTATTAAAAAATAGTTGGCAAAAAAGTGATTTCACCAAAAAAAGTACTCATTCTGTGTATAAATGAGCGCATTTGAGTGTGTGTGAGGCCAGATAACCAGTCAACAGGTTAAAGAAAAAGACAGGCATAGTACCTCTGATGGCACACCAACAGCAGCACAGCCAGGAGGATCATGGGTATTACAAATGAAACTGAGAGGATCACCAGCGTGTTGAGTTTGTAAACCGACTGCTCCACTACTACAAACAGAAATAGATCATTGTACTGAGGTTACATATAGCATTGTGTATTCAGGCTTCCAGGTGTCAACCAACGGCCAGAGATGGCCAACAGCTGTTTGAGACGACTTTAACACTGCAGTATACTCACTGACAGTGTGACTCCAGTCGCTCCAGTGAGGCCATTGTATGCAAAGGTTGTTCTTCATTGTCCTTATCCTCACTCTATAGGTGTAAGCTGGATCTGCATTATGGAGTGTGTAAGACCGCTGGTTGGTCAAGTTTCTAAGACTCTCCTGTTTGAAAAGATTTGTCAGTAAACAGTCAGTAGATTTATCTCATTTCGCCTGTTCTTCACTGATCAGGTCTCACTTTGCATACTGGGTTCATTGTTCCTATTAGTAAAGTATTTTCACCAGAAAATAATGTGATACATGATTGTTTCTATAATAATCAATATTTTTTGTAATCCACATAGAGAGGCATACTCTACCTGGTCACCCAGGTCCAGCTGGTAATCAAAGCAGTCATCTTTGCTGGTGAAGTGACTGTGGGGCAGATCCCATGTGACCAGCAGGTCTCCATCTTTAACTGATGCAGACAGGTTTGGTGGAGGAGACAGGACCTCTGTGGCAAACACATCCACAACATCGGTAAGTGATATTTTATTCAGAAGGTCTGCTGTGGACTCCCTAAAACATACAACCTCAACATAACCTGAAAATAATTTGGTTCAGAGATATTGATTGCATATATGGCTAAACTTAACCCCAACTAACAAACAAAGTGCCAGTCAATGTACAGTACCGTCAGCCCACTGATTCACAAGAAAATGTTTTTTTTTTAAGTCTGAACAATAGATGAGAAAAAGGGGGAGGTGGAGGTGAAAGTTGTGTGTTGCCTTATCTTAGGAAAACCATCTTACTAATATGGGCATAAAGTTGTGAGCTCATGAGAATAAAGTTGTAATAATATGATCCATGATATTTTTCCCCATGCTGCTCCCAGTCCTCCCTTTTATAAAGTCAAAATTGGTTCTTCTGCTAATGATAGGCGCACATGGACCTCTGGTCTTTACAATATAAGAGAGTGACTTAAAGTTTCAAAGCAATGTAATTTGGTATTTGTTCATGAAGCACACTACAACAAAATACAGAGACAGTATCAACTTTTGATCATGCTGGCTGGCTCTATGGATGGCAATGTTTGTCTGTGTGTCGGTCCAGAATTAAATATCTTAACTAATTTATGCAGACATTCATACTGCCCAGAGAATCCACTCATGTTAACTTAATGTGAGAAGTGTAAAGGCCAAGACAAGACAGCAAACCAATGCATGTAACTGACATGTATCTATGCACTTTCATTCAAAGATCAGCCAGTCATAGTGTCTAATATAAACACTGTTGCCTTTTGTGAATTTGTGTAATTTCTACAGATAAAAAAAGGATACATCTCGACCGAGCATTCCTTACTTCCAATCCATGTTATACTTCTTATGAATCCAAGCAGACTGATCATGTCAGCAGACACCCATTTTCCAAACTAGTATAACATGTATTTTGTCTACCATGTGTGCTCTACAGGGTTCACTTTCAGCTGACATAACCTACAGATAGTACTGCATGTGGTACATTTAGATATTATTTACTATCTATAGATGACCTTATGATTCAGGTGGAAAGAATTGAAATAAAGCGCTACCTGGTGTATTTTTCAAACAGTCCATGCCATTGAGGACCATCTGTAATGTTGTCACTTGCAACTACTCATAAACAACTCAAGAACATTTTGTCTTGGTGTCTTACCTTGCTTTTCTGGTTCATATGTGTAGGTGTAGGCTGTCCAATTGTCATGCAGGGTCATGTTAAACTGAACAATTACAAATTGGTGGCCCTCATGCTCAGGCAGAATCGTAGACCATGATCCAACTCTTTCCTCAGATAAACGGCTGAAAGCCTGAGCCGTTTGTTCACCTTCACAAATACTGTGTGAATAGACATACTGTATGGTAAATATGTTAAACAGTACATCTCTTAAAGGCAAACACTACTCAGCTTGTTATTGATAAAACCTTTGCCATGCGGTTAATATGGCATGTAAAAATATGAATACCTGATGTGAACAGAAAGCTGTGTATCCTTCTGTAAAGTGTGGAATGCCCAGGAGCAGTTGAGTATTTCTGCTGGGTAAAGGAGGCAGGTGAAGCATTCATTTACATCAGCAGTGTCGCTTTGGCAGTCAATCGGATGGGAAGAATCCTCCACACATAACTGAAATATTTCCACAAATATAAATAACAGGATATAGACATTAAAAATACATTTAAATTTAAGCAGTGAGCTTGTATTGTGTCTGTGCTGCCTTTAGTTAAAAGAACATTTTGATTCTTGCCTCATCAGGGCACCAGTCCTTGTGACAGATACCAGGAATGTTGCTCTCTGTTAAAAGAGAACATACAGTGTACATCTGGAGTTATTGCCAGTGGCAGAAGAAGTACTCTGATCCCTTAAGTAGCAATACTACAGTGTAAAAACACTAATAAGAGCATTCAAAATATTACTTAAGAGTATATCTGTGCAGATTCTCAGTCATCCAGGTCATAGTAAACCGCAACCGAAATAACCTTGGAAATCCACTGGACTTGGATTTCTAGATCGAAGACGTTTCACCTCTCATCCAAGAGGCTTCATCAGTTCTGTCTCCGACTCAACACCAGTCAGTCAGAACTGATGAAGCCTCTTGGATGAGAGGTGAAACGTCTTCGATCTAGAAATCCAAGTCCAGTTGATTTCCAAGGTTATTTCGGTTACTTAAGAGTACAAAGGAAGTTGGCTTTCTCAAATGCTGTATGCAAGTAAAGCAGAAACAAACACCACCCCGATAAAAGCAAGGTAGCCATAAACATCTGACAAAAGTCACCCACCACACTGGGAAGCAAACAAAACCAGGAAAGTGGACCAGGTTACTGGATGGACAGGAAACTGCTTCATAGCCAACCTGGATGTTTTACACACACATATAGACACTAAAGTAGAGAAACAGATGAGCAAACAGCACATACCCACTTACAGTAAGTGATGTATCAGTTCGCACTTAGTAATTTCCTGGCTTTTCATACTTCCCTTTTTAATAATGCTTACATTTCTAGTAAGACGTCTCAGTGGGCACATCATTAACTGCTTTCCTCATGAGTGATAAATCTACATTTAATCTTGAGTTTTAACAACATTCACATTTCAACTTCCTACAAAAGCTTTTACATTTTATTCAAAATCCCAAGAGAAAGTTAGTGTTTTGTTTACAAACTCAGCTCAAAAATGATAAACAAACATGCCCATGAGCTATTATCCCCTCTAAGCTTTCTCATGAATAAATTCTAAATCCTACTATAGTAGCATTATTGTAAGTAGTGTTAAGAAACCGCTACCTGCTGTCGTGAAAGTCGTCTTCTGAGTGCACTTACCAAGACACTGACGCCTCTGGGGGAAAAGCAGAATGACGTCATATACTGTACAGAGGAAGCTATGGGCCTCTTTGAATATTCTTTTTTTAGTTTTCATATAAATACAGCACAAGATTTCAAACCCCCTGTACTTACCTTTAGGTGTCAAGCACCTTGTTGATGGCAAATATTCATAAAACTCAGCACAAGGCAGAATTAATCCCTATTTAAAATAAATATGCCAACTTCTTGATAACTATTTTAGACTACTCTTAGCCAACAATTTAAAGATATTAATAACAATGAATTGTGTTAGATACCAATAATCGGAGGACCCAAATGCAGGACACACTGTCAGGTTAGTTGGTAGAGAAGGCTTCAATGGCAACAGTACAGACACAGCACAGGACAACAGTGGAGATGGTGTTCAGGTGTATACAGAGTGTAGCCGCTGTAGGCATGCAACAGGTAGTGAAGTTGGGGAGAGTGAGACAGTGAAAAACAGGAAGTCCCTTTCAAAATAACAGTCTCTAGTAGGAAACCAGGCATGAACATAACATTTTATTCCTGTCATTCTGGAGAAGACTTTGGAAAAGTGTCATGAACTTCCTGTGGCGTTGGCGGGACTTCCCATAATGCTCCACGGGGCGGGATGTACAGTAAATAGTTCGTGTGTCTGTGTGCCTCAGGTTGTATTTTGTTTTGACAGTCTGGATTAGACCAAATAAATTATTTTCCTGTTATTACTGTTCTAAATGAATCCACTGCCAAAGACAGGCATTTGTTAAAACTTGAACGTTCCTGGGGCACAGCAGAGCCAACGCCTTCAAGGCGATTATCTCCAACCAGTTTTTAATCGAAAGCGATCTGAGACTGCGAGCACCAGGAACTCCATGAAAAGCAGTCTGCTTTTTTGGAAGGAAGACCCTCTGACAGTAGGTTTATATAAATACCGTGTACGTAACATTATAAGGCAGCCTGGATTCATACTGTTACATGAAGCTACTGTAGTTACTGTAATTAAATTACTAAATGTGAATGACCAGAATGCTAATCAGTGGTGAAAGTCAACAGTAGGCTACTTTCCTTCTGAAATCAGGAAACGGTTTTGCTTGGTGCCTGTTCATTAAACAGCAATATGTTATGTAATGGAAGTTATGTTGAAGAACCTTTAGAAAAGGTTTCAAGGTCATAAGTGTTGACTTCTGTTATAAAGTTTACACTGTCTGGTTTAAATGTATGTTAGGACTTTTCAGCTTTATTGCTCAGTTCCAAACTTTTTTTTAAATCACAAAGTAATAAGTTGCATTATTTTGATTAAGTAATTAAAATAGTCATATTACTTATTAACAGCATAATTAGTTATTTATTTAATTTCATCCCTTTGGGCAAAAACCTGAAAACAACATGCCCTTAGTCAGTGGGTAGCCTGCTGTGTCAGGGTTGGCGAGTAAAGCTGCCAATAGTGTCTGTGGTGAACTCAATTATCATGCCAGACAAGATGTGGCAGATAACTTCTCTTTACTGAGCACGATAAACAGTACACCATACAAAAGTCCAGAAAACATACTCGAGTCGATAATACCAGTCCAGGGTCAACACCGGCAAACTCACACAGCCAAAAAATCCAAAACAAGAGGTCAGAGAAGGGAGTCCGATGGTCGGTGCACATTAATCAAAACAGAATCATGAGGGTTAGGCAATAATCGGTGGTCAAAGGCAAGCTGGGTTCAGAGCAGGAAATACAGGCAACAAGAATAACACAGGAAAGTCTGAACAATCTGGCAGCTATATACTGTTTTTAGCAGGTGTGGGTAATCAGAAGCAGATGAAACCAATTTGGATAATGAACTAAAGTTCCTGGGAGTCAGGGTGAGCTGGGGACAGGAAGTAGTATCAAAATAAAAGTATGACAGGAAGCAAACAGGACAGAATCATGACATTCTGTTCTTGGTCTATGTAAGGCTTATCATTTCACAAGTGGTGATCCTGACTGTTATCAGTCTGTAGTGCGTGATGTACAATCATGTTAGAAAATTGAATAAGTTAGGTTGAATTTGGTATTACTTTTGGATTAGAGACCACTTTAATTGCACTCATGAGTGATTTAAATCCATAATTAGGCCTGTAATTTAATATGTGCCAGATAGTCACTGTAAAACGCTACTACACTGTTACAAATGTTCAAAAACGGCTTTCAGTTCAACAAATTCTTCCCTTGAATAATATTCTTCATGTTTCTGTTTTTCTGTCTCAGGTTCAACATGTCAGCCAAAGATGAGCTGCGGTGCAATAAAATAGCCATTCAAGCTATTTTAAAAGGAAACTACACACTAATCCTCCAGAAGATTTATGAGAAAAAGATGATAACCGAATGGGAGTATGACGACCTTAAATGTATCAACAAGGCAGGAATAAATGAGCATGTTGTGGAGCTCATGGATAAGATCATGAATAAAGGAGAGACAACCTGCAAGAAATTCCTGAACCTCCTGCAAACTGATGGGGACATTACATCAACTTTTCCTGCGCTGCAAGAACTGTTAGGCATCCCAGACAGTGTACCTTTATCTGAGACTGTCCAAGCTTCTCCAAGTGGCATCAGTGGTATGTTGACATCCGTATTCTAATTTGGTAGAAATGACTGTAAGGTTTATATTTGAAGTTGTAATTCTTTTTCATTCTGATTTCCCCAGATGTTCCAACACAAGAAAGCAAGAGACAAAAGGTGAGGTCTTTACCTGATATTCACATAGCACTCAATGCGTGATTGAGCTTGACTCATTATGTTTAATTAGGCTTTGTAAAAGTGACACAAGAAGGGGTTTATGATATGGTCGCAGGATAGCAAGCTACTGATTTCAGTGTTAGCTGAGATGGCTACATGGATTTATATCATGAAGTTATATTGGTGCAGTTTTCAGCTGATGAGAGAGTTGACAGAGGAGAGATTTACAAACGGACGCTGGTTTGGTATTCTTTCTGTTTGACTGGTATGTTGTGAATTTATTATTTATGTCAGTACGATAAGGATTCAAACCATGACCTTTTGTGCTTATAGCTAAATCATGCCAGAATGTGTCATTTGCACTCCCAGTGTGGTTGTAACAGTCGCTGGCTAAGCTAAGGATGTCACTGTGTTGCTACTTTAGGTTATATTAATCAGCTAGTTACATCCAGGCAAGTGACAATTTGTGACAGTGAATTACATTATTTTAATGCCCACCAGCTGAATGTGTTGTAGTCTCTACTAACTTTGTCATTTTTATCCTGGAGTCTGGCTCTTATCACCTCGGTTTGGCATCTGCTACAGCTGCAGTGATGGTATGTCTCTCTCTTCCTATCAAGCCACACTCAACAGTGTGTTTTATTCAATTTCAGACATGTTTTTGAACAGCATGTGTCCTATATGTGATAGAGTGGCAAAGTGTTTTTGTTTTGTTTTGTTTTGTTTTTGCAATATGACCTTTTCAGTGCAAAGTCATTCTTTCTCTGCCGGTGTTCACAAACTGTGCTGGCTATAAATGTGTTGTCTACCTGTCCTGTAGTGGAATTGTAATATAGTTGGGCTGTGTTTACAGTAGACGTGAAGCAGGCAGTCACCTTGGTGAGATACATTATTTTAGCGCTCACCAGTTGAATGCTGCCCAGTAACTTTCTTAGACACTGTGTGATGCTTTCACGTTCATGAGCGGTGCCAACAGGGAGAAGCAGGGCTGGGTGGAACGGAGGCGGATCCTTCTAGAACCTCATGCTAGCACTAGCTAGATTTTGAATTAATTAATTCTTATTGTAGCTTTAAGAATATCGAGTTATCTCTTAACTGAATGTCTTTGTGTGTTTGTTTATAGGATGAGAGGTATCAGTTGAACAGCCAGCCTGTCGGCCTTTGTGTGATCATTAACAACGAGAAATTCATTGGTGGCGATGTGAGATGTGGAACCAACAAAGATGCTGGTATGACACAGAGCACACAGGTTATTTATTCATCTTATTTATTGGTTTTTGTGTCTTAACCAGGGTGTTCTCTTACAACATTCCCTGCAGAAAGTTTGGCAAAGGTGTTCAGCTGGCTGGGGTTCACAGTGCTGATGTGTAAAGACCAAACCCAAGAGCAGATGGATCAGGCTCTGAAATACTTCGCTTCTCTGAGTCAGCCACCAGAGTTCAGTATAAAGGAGTGGTTTGGAAATGAATTCATTGATCTTCAGAAGCCTCTTAAGCATGGTGATGCTTTCATCTGCTGTATTCTCAGTCATGGTAACAAGGGTGTAGTCTTCGGGACTGACCAGAAACCCCTTAGCATTAAAGAAATAACTAGAACTTTCAAGGCGACCGACACATCAGCCCTCACCAATAAGCCTAAAGTGTTCGTGATCCAGGCCTGCCAGGGAGAGAAGATGCAGCGTGGAGTGCTGCCAAAAGATCTGAAGACTGATGCTTGTCCACTGTCTGTCCCGGAGGAAGCTGATGTTCTGGTTGCTCTTGCTACTGTTGAAGATCATCCAGCGTATAGACACGAAACAAATGGGAGCTGGTTCATCAAGTCTGTTTGTCAGCAGCTAAAGGAGGGCTGTAAATGGTAAATGTATATTTAGTAGGTGTTGTTGCTTGAAACGTCAAGCACTGAATAACAAGCATTATTTTTTATTTTGTAGATCTGATGTCATAATTACTATGCACACAGATTATGTACATTTGATTCAATTATAATCTGCAATGATATTGACACGTTTTTTTTTTTGTATATTGTTTGTTGTTTTAGTGGCGACAACATCACTGACATCCTCACCAAAGTGAATAATGAAGTTGGCCAGGAGGAGGGCTGCTCCCGTCGACCTGGTTCAGTAAAGCAGATGCCTGAAGTTAGGTATACCCTGACGAAGAAGCTTGTGTTGTCACCGCCTTCAAACTGAAGCATAATCACTGGATATAACGCAAACACAGTATGCAGTATGTCTTTAAGGATGTTTACTTAACTAGGGGAAGGGTTTTCTTACAATGTTTAAAATCCTCTTTTATCTCTCTGAATCTTTTAAATTTTTTATATCATATTACAACCTTGTCTTTTATACTGTCACAGATTTGCATTAGAGAGTAAATTTCAAAATGTAATGGTCACTGCTGGGTCAAAATTTTAATGAGGTGTTGCTGAAGACTGTCCTGTATTTGCTGTACTGTATATTTACTGCATATCAATTCACAGGAACTCATTACAAATAAAAGCCCTAAATGCTGAATCCTGGTGTCGTTTACTAGTCTAACAAATGAGATAGCATTACATTATAAGGCAATGTTTTTATTCAAGCAAATGAACACTTCCGACTAAGCAATACCCATGTTTTCAAACCAATCCAGTGCAATTTTAATACATTTGGGGACTGCGGTAGGTTATATTCATTAAAAACATGGAAATGTTGCTATATATTTGTAAAAACACTAACACTTTGCTTCCTTTTTAAATGTTTAAGTGGTTAATCTGGATGATAAGTCATACATCTTATTTTATGTAATAGAAAAGTACTTTAATTATATATATATAATGTTTCATTAGCATTTTTGTCTTTATCATGACCAACTTTTCTTTTTCTGATGGAAATGGGTTTCCACACAATAGGCTGTAGCTGTAGCTCAATGATTCTTTGTTCATTAATATATAAATGAACGAAACTATCTATTAACTTCTTTTTATTGTCCAAATACAATTCAAGTAATGATATCCCATATTAGAATAATCTCAGATTTCCGTTATCCCTGTGGTCTTCCAATAGAAACATTTTGACTGGGGATTACGGTAGTTTGCTTCCAGATTCGTCCGCGCACATACTGCTTTACGGTCTTTATGGTACTGTGGCGTCGTTGCCATGACAACCCGTCTTCTTTTTTCCGTATCAGAAGAGACGGCATGTATAGAAGTCCAGGAAAATACTGCGCACTTTTAAAATTACAAAACAGCCTGCATATCGCAATAAAAACTGTCTTGCTAAACGGTTCCAGCTACGTAGGGACTTGTTTTACTACCGAGAGTCTCTGCCTTTGAGTAAGAGCAGCGCTAACGATGGAAACCCCGCTGGAAGAAGAGACTTCCGTCGGTGCCTCGGCGATAAATGCAGGGCCGGAGCACAGAGAGGAGTTGAAAGCATCTGACCAAGCTCTCGCATTTATGGCCAGCATTGGTGAGTGAGCTGTCCTTTTATTTTAGTCGGGGGTGTCCACTAGGAGATGGATACTGAGTAGGCTACACATTTGGGTTAACACCACCTGGTTTGAGGTGCACTGGCCACATAGAACTGGCAAGCAAACTAATATCGTCATGTGAGCAATGGACACAAAATAGATGTCCCTCCACTTTTCTCAGAGCCTGCAGAGCTGCAGAAGTGTGTGTTTCCAGACTCTCTGGTGACTGTATCAGAGGGCGGCAGAGACCTGGGGAAGTTCACTGTGACAGTGGAGTTTGCCTGTAGAGTCCAGCGTCCCTGTCTGCTGCTACGTGCTCAGAGCCAAGGAGCCATTGATGATGCCCCTTGTGGAACAATTGTCACAGGTGAGCAGAGGCAAGGGCTGTCCAGAGAGGCTGACCTATATTGTTTCATTCCCTTTTAAATGTGTCACTGTGCCTTATCTTCATGTAATTCACCTTGTCATCATCAACAATTTAAGTTTACCTGTCTACTGACCTGGAGGTGCTGGAAGAAGATTACCATGAGTATGTGAAGGTGAGTCACATCCCAAAATCACATACTGTATATTGTCTGTGAATACATTATGCCCTCATTCTTATACCACATCTTTCTAGTATTTTTACTTTGCATTCCTGACTTTTAAACACTCTTTTTCCACTTCTCCAGCTTGAAGACCACAGTTTGGACAAGAGGTGTCACATGGTGCAGCATGACGGGCAGATGGTGATCAATAAGGTTACTACTATAGGAGAGGTGAGAGAAGAAATGATAGGACAGGAGTCAACTGTCTGAAATCACGACAAAACAGCAGTAAAGTTCTATCAGCCACGGGTCTCGGAAACATTATAAGTGACATAGATGCTAATATGATGGTTAAAAACCAAGTCAAAGAAAGCTGCTACCTATACCCTTTTGCCCTCATCTTGTTACAATGTGGTTGATGTTACACAACCGTTAAGATTTTTGCTTAGAGATGTCGACAGACCAAGTAATGTGTAATCCATTTTTCTGACTGTGTGTGTACAGGAGGTGATGAAGGAGAGTGTTTCTTATCCTATGTCTGCTTTAAGAGGGCTAGTAACAGAGGGTTCCAACTTGCTGTTGATGCGTCTGATCGCTCTGAGGAAGATGGTGCCAGAACACATGACCTTCATCTCTTTCGACCAGGGGTTATACATAACCCACACCATCTTTGTAAGTAATTGTACGTCTGTGCAACACTTTTTGATCAGTCAGTGAGTTAACTGAAGAGTGAACTAATCTGTGTGTGGTCAGAGTGAGCTGGGTCTGAAGCAGCTGGAGGTTGACGGTGAGGCTGTGGAGGTATTTGGGGTGGAGAGGACTGTTCACTCTGTGGAGGACAGCCCCACCATCTGGCAGTGCTACTTCTTGGATGATGGGTAAGATAAATGACTATATACATCTCTAGGCTCTTAGACAAGTTCACTGCCACCACTGTGGATGAAACAGGATATGACTGTTAATTCTATGTTACTACCTTTTTTTTAGTGGTGGCAGCTCTAAACCAGATTAGGGCTGCATGAGAAATTATCAAAATATTTGATTACCTTAATTTTTTGTCAAAAGTGTAGTAATTCACTAAACCTGGAAAATGTTAACACTTGTTTTGTTTTGGAAGATTTAGAGAAGGACGGATTTATATTTGCTGTTCATATCACTGTTGATGTGAGGACACTAAATGAGACTAGTGCATTGCTGACAGTGCACAGAGGCAGATTAGTTAGACAGATTGTGTAGCATTGCAGGGATAAAGGTTTAATCCGGTGCTATCAACCAGATCAGCTGTGTGGAGGTATGCTCCAGAAGTTACTAATTAATAACAAGGTTCAAAAATTGTTTTTGTTCTTGGCACAATATTTTCAGTGAATTGTTTACATGGCCCAGGAAAATTACTTCATGGCTAATACTAATCAAGGAACCACATCATTAAAACATAACAATTGTAAGATTAGTAAAATGTACAAGGCCTGGATTTCAACAAGAATTTAAGCAATGCTGACAAACTATTACAATGTGTGCAATATTTCCACAGGTCAAAAATTTATTGGCAGCCACTGAACATCAATGTATATCAAAAGATGGCTGCAAAATTCAGAGGCAAAAAAAAGTACAATTTCATCTACACACGAACGCACCATGATGTGCGTTCCGCGACTTTGAGTAGTTTTCTCTCTGGATTACTCAGATGTTTTTGAAATCTTTTAAGTCTGTGAGAGGGACAATGTCAGGGAGAGACAGAGAAAACCTCTGTTCATTTCTGTATTTGTGAGTAGAGTAGTTTTGAGTTGAGTTGTTTTTCATGTGTGTGTGCATACCGTACCTCAACGAATGTGTGTGTTTATGACTTTGATGTTCTTCACTTTGTGGAGAAAACCAAACTGTTAATATCTTCTGTTAAATGTATTTTTGAGCAGTTTCTGTTCTTTGATCAGGCACTTGGCCAACAGAGTGCAGGTGGGATCACCAGTCACCATGAGGCTCCTGCAGCTGCCATCACACCTAGAAAAAGGTAGTCATTTCTACACACATAAAAACTGATTACTGTATATAACTAAACAGAGTCAGTGATGTTTGTATGTGTTTGTGCTGGTCAGGTTTTGAGAAAATCCCCCTGGTATGGGAAGAAGACATGCAGATGCGATCCATGTTACTGGACAGAAAGGTGAAACTGGCTATAATAACTGACTCATTGATCAGCCTGACAGTACCTAAACAGTACTGTGTCCTCTCCAGCATCTCCTCTTATTCTTTAAATCAGAATATGAATATGTATGTATGTATGTATGTCACCTTGTGCCAGGAAGAACTGATGGCGGACCATGCCTCTTACCTTAGACAACATCCAGAGATCCGTGCCCTCATATCTGACTTCCTGCAGTTCTTGCTGTTGAGGAAACCAGACAATGTCTTCCAGTTCGCTAGAGAGTATTTCCAGCCTTTTGCCTCCCACCATACTCCAGAACAATGTCTGAAAGCCCACTCATTCTGAATGCACACTCAAGGACACATCTCACATACTTAAACACCAGTTGCTGTTTCTTATTTTGAAATTTAGAAACTGCATTTGTCAGTGTTAGTGACAGTGGTTTTAAAGGAAACATGGTGGAGATTAGCAATATCTTCCACAAAACTGAGACTTCATCTAAGCAGTGTGTTTTTGCCAAATAAAGTGGTTTGCTGGAGGTCAAGAGTGTGTGGTTTTGGTTTTTCTTTAGCGCAGTCAAATTTGTCTGTGCAAAGCACTTAAGCAGCAGGACAGTTGTCAGTTCACAATCAAACTCAGACTCCAAAATAAAAATGTAAAATGAAATATTTTGATAGTTACGTAATGAAATATCTGCTCCAGCCTTCTCCAAATTGATAAAACTGGAGCTGTAGAACAGTCCTGTAGACTGGCCATGGGCGGAAGCGACTATATAAAAAAACAACTGGTTTCCTCTGAAAGTGAAACCGGTTAAGTTATTGTGAAATTATAGCTACAGCTGAGACATAGTCCGAAGTTTTCTCCCTCATAAAAACTTTTTGCTGACTAACTGAAGTCTAATATTTTCGACTTCTGCTCGCAAACTCTCAGGAACGAGGTAAGTCAACCGCGGTAAGTTTAGGCGTCGTACGTTAACTCACCTGAAGTAACTTATCTAACGTTAGCTAACATTTGTACCATTTACACCTGTAAATTGCATCTATTGTGCTTATATAACGCTAGTCTACCGAGTAACGTTAAATAACAACACTTTATATATGTAGTTATTTCCTTAGGCAGGAGTACGATTTTTTTTTTCTTCATGTATCTTCTATTCCGTGAACCAAAACGTTTTCGTGGCTAGTTTTTTTTTCCCAGTTTGGTCGCAGCAGCACTTCCTTGTGAATTTTAGCAAGTGTTAGGTAAATGCTTAGTCATGCTTATGAGTTTCTACAGGGTACATCTGGTCATACTAGAGGTCGTGAGAATGTTTTTAGCTACACACCACTTAATCAACAGACACACACACATTGATTTGCTTCATGTTTTGACTACTGCTATGACCAGCTGCAAAGCTGGTAACAGAGACGTCTCGGTTGACGTTTCTGTGTAGTATGGGGCTAGCCCAACCGAGGGGATATAATGTATAGGCCTGGTGGGTTCAGGGTCTTTCATCTTACATCTGCCTGCGAGCAGGTTGGAGGTGGAAGATACCTGAGCGTGTAATGTTAATTTTACCTGTGATCCTTTGAATAAATCAGCACTGTTTTGAAGTTACTTGGACTGTCTCGTCTCTCTGAGTCAGTATGGTAAAAAGTACCGGGTATAACACAAGGAAAGTCCAAAAACACCACAAACGTATGATCCACCCTACAGAATAAATACTACAGGCCAACTAATATTGTTATTGATGGTAATAGTGATGGTTATTTATGTAACACTGGAATTTAAAAACTGCTAAATGATTTCCACAGAGCAAATAAAAACAGTAAAATTCAGACAACAGTAACGAGGTCACAGTGGAAGTGTCCTAACATAAACGCTGTGTCTCTGTAGTTGTAAACCTCCATGAGGACCGCACCCTGGTGGAGGTTGATAATAAAGGGAGAATGGCTCAGATATTATCAGTGTCAGGCCATAAAGGGTAATGGCTGCTTTAACAATTAGTCTGTAGTGGTCCTATTGTATTTTCTTAAATGTTCATCACTTACAGTGTAAATTTATTTCTTTTCATGTAACCACGTTGAGTATAATTTAGAGGTGATATTTAGTAGTGTGGTAATGACATTTAGTGTATGGTATGGTGTCTGGTGCCATATATCCTGACTGTAATATCTTGATGATGTCTTTAATAAATTTAAAAAATTGCCAAAACAACTATAGTGTATTAGTTTCACTTGTTTCATTTCGTGATGAAGGTACCTGTGTAAGTTATTTTTGGCTTCTCCAAAACACACACACTTTACACTCTATAATCTTGTATTTTGGTTCTCTGTCTCTTTTATTTCTGTTTCTCCAATAGCACCGGGCTGTAGGAAACTGTGAGCTGAGCACCAGGCCTGTGCTATTGGCAAAGTTATGAATAGGCTGACGCTGTCGCGCATAGACGATGAGCTGGACTCTTCTGAGGTAGCAGCACTTCGTTTCCTGTGTTGTGATGTTGTCAAAAGGAAACGTCTGGAGGGGGTAAGCCGCACACATCTTATACTGTTGTTTTTGCATTTGACTCAACCCCATGTCTGAGGGGAAAATGTGTCACTTAGCAGTTTTTAGTTTCTTTTTCTTTATCTGTTTATAAAAGATAGTGTGTTACCCTAAAGCTATCCTACATGGCATTCACCAGATTAAGAGTGCCATGTAATATTTTCCTTTTCATTTTGTCCTCACATCAAACCATGTTAATAATGAGACAGAATTTCCCCCCAGTTGATATTCTCTCTGGGGTTGGGTATCGTTTGGGTTTTTTCTGATACCGGTGCTACAATACGTTTAAAACAGTGCCAGTGTCTAAACAGTACCAGAACCAATACCTAAAAAAAGAAGGTGATCAGCTTTATTAAGCACTGTTCTCCTTAATACATCCATAAACACACACCTACGTGAGTGACTGAACATGAAGGATCATTTACAGAGATCGCTTCTCCAACCTGACGGTTAAGAACTCCGTAACACCTGATGAGGACACACTGTCCACTGTGGCCATGTAACTCCAAAAGATATACGGGGCATCACTGACAGATGCCAGGGCAGCGGCCATGGCCACATAAAACGTAGGTTGATGACATTAGAAAATATTCCCAGCTCTGTCCTCCAAGCTCCCAGGTAAATGGAACACAGCTTAAGTGTAATGAAAACGTTAACACCTGACATGCAGTGATGCTTCTGTTGCATGTATTGTCGATTTCACAGCACCAGGGAGTAAATATTTCAATCAACAGACATTTGCGTGGCACCAGAATGAGGCACCCAAATCTGCATTGTGATTTGGTCTGGTAGATACCGATTGTATAGGAACTGGTGCCATATTAGCACCGGGTTTTGGTACCCAACACTAACTGTCTCATTTTAAGGTTTGTTTTCTCATGGGTTTGTAAATCATTGTGGTTTTTGGTTGTTCTCATACAGGTTGTTGATGCAAAGGGGCTGTTCATGAGACTAGAAGAAAGAGGTCTGCTGGATAACAGTTCCTTCCTTTCTCAGCTGCTACGCACTATCCTTCGAACAGATCTCCTCAGCGTCCTGGAGACAGACAGCAGCTGTCCAGAGGAAACTGATGCAAGTCCCACCCTGTCAGCATACCGGTAAAAGTAGCAAGAATCTTACTTTAACTGGAAGAGACAGCAGTGCAGAATTATTACACTACATCCCGTTTTGTCCTGTTGTCTCTCCCTCTCTTGTTTTCTCTTTTCTGCTCTTCTGTTCTTTCTATCAGGGTGATGCTATACAACATATATGAGGAGATGACTCAGGAGGATCTCGAAAGAATGAAGTTTCTTTTGATGGATAAGTTGGGCAGAAGACAAATGGACATCTGCACCGTGAGAACCTACCAACCCACCTTACGAACACTTTGAAAATCACCTTGCTGCACCCACATTTACTTAGGAAATGATGACCTGTCCACTTTACTCTTTGATTTGGAATGAAAAGGCTTATAGACAATACCAAGAAATAAATAGATCATTAGTAGTTAACCTCTCTTAACAGTAATCAACATACCATACTGCACTTTTTATCTGTAACAGTGAACACTAACCAAAGTACATAATGCACTGGCATCATTTTTCTGAAGTGTAATGATAACTGTTAAATTTAATGCCAATTTAAGTGACCTGTTTACATTTTTTTTTAATCAACAACATATCAACAATGTGAATTTCTTTGCATAATAACCAGAAAAGTCCAAACTAGAAGGGTTTTAAGGATGTAGAAACATTTTGGTGGCCATTTTAGAAAATGCTAGAGATGCTGTTATTTCATTATCCTCAGCTTTGATCAACAGTGGCTGCCACTGTACGTCTTACAATACAACCTTCCTGTATCACATTTTGTGTGTAGGCTACATATTGTATTACAGCTGTGACCTGCAGCCATTTTGTCACAAAAAAGTTTAAGTAATATATTTTGTGTGGAAATTTTTAAATCTTTTTATCCATTATTTATAAACAGGTGTTTCTTTTGTCTACTTTCATTGCACCAGAAGTGACTTCTAGATTTGTGTTGTAACTGCAAAGCTACTTAAAATAGACATAATCAATTCTTTGCTCTTTATTACAGACAGCACTGGATGTGTTTACAGAAATGGAAAAGATTGGTTTGCTGTCGAATACAAATGTGAATGAGCTGCAAACAACACTGCAGACTTGCAGTCAACAACTGGCATCGAGAGTGCAGCACTACAAAGATGGTGAGATCCACTCACTTACTACAAGCACATGCACATTTAAATGTTACATTAACTGTGAAATTCATCAGGTGTTTGTATATGTTGCAGGGTTACCCCAGCAGGAGCAAACCAGTTTGCCACCTCATGACAGTATGGATTACCTGGTGTGTGGTTCTGCAATTTTTTTTTAAAACAGTTGATCCTCATATGAGCCAGTTTACTGACCGCTGTCACTGTTTTCTTCCCACAGAGGAACAACAGAGATTCTTCCCACAGAGGCCATCATTCAATACAACCTAGTGTACCAATATCTGAGACTCAGCCCAGCTGTAAGTCTCCCTATCCATTTTATTTGCAGTTACTCACTAACCTGCCATTTATTCACACACAGCCATTGAGTAAGGACACTTACTGTACTGGCTAATGACACCTCAGAACGACTTTGTCACTACTTTTAGATGACTATTTTTATCATACACATTCTAGGGATGTAATATTGTGTTTTTTTTTTGTTTGTTTTTTGTTTTTTTTCTTCAGACAAAGCAGCGAGTGTTTATTCTGACGCACAATCAAGCAGAGGGCCCCCCTCCCTTTTTGATGAGGTAACCATTCACACAAGCACAGATACCCTCAGTTCTTTCATCAGAACAGTATTCTTCATGGGTCGTCTGTGTGCCCTGTAGACGGAGTACTACACTCTGAATCACAACCCTCGTGGTTTGTGTGTAGTCATCAACAACGAGAAGTTCCCTGGACCAGAGCTGCAAGACCGCAGGGGAAGTCAGAAGGATGCAAGTATGTACCCCTGTATATGAAGAGCTATGTGATCAGATTTGTTTTGCTGTTAGCTACTAAGCCA